AGTATACATGGAAGAAAGTCAGGAATTTAGAACATTCTCTGACAATGGCAATAAAAATGTCTGATTATTCTAAGGCCTCTCCCTCCCCACCCCCACATCAGTGCAAAGGGTAAACTGCTACTAATGTCACAAAGGGTGGAAGGGTGCAGGGTGACGACCCACTCTTGGTTTATGTTTCATATTCTCAGTCCAGGGGTCTTTCTACCTCTTACTGCCTATTGGACTTTCTGGGCATCTGTTTTATGACTGGGTTGCAGAACCTTGTGGCACTTTGAGGATGGCTCCCTAGCATTAGTGAAGCCAGAAACTGGGGCTTACCCCAAATCTGAGGGTTCGTTCAAAGAATGATGCCCTTAGAAACTGAGGAAGGTAAGCAGCAGCACACACAAGGTGTGTATATTGATGTCTTCCCATAATAACTACCTGAGAATTTGAGTGTGCTCATGATCTAATTAGGGATATCCCCAAAAGCCATCTGCAGTCTCAAAAATGTTAGATAAAATTATACATTTTAAAGCTCCATATGGAATTTTGCTCTTCCCACAAGCAGTTTACTGAGCATCTATCCTATGTGCCAGGCACCATGCTGAGGACTGGAACACTGCAGTGAATAAAACAGACCCTGTCCCCATGGTCTAGCAGGAATTGCAAAAGCTAGTGTTGACCCAGCACTGTCCCAGTGTCTGAGATTTTGGGTTTGACAAATAGGGCCTCCTGTCCCTAGAAGGTGACCTTTAATATTACAGTAGGGGCAATTCTTCCACTTCCCATAAAATAGCACACAAGACCACCCCATCCCTTTTGTCCCCACTCACCAAAGCCACCTGTTATTAACGAAGGCCAGAAATATCTCCCTAATAAGAAAGAAAGCCATAGAGAAGGAATGAGAGGTATTCTTTAACTTACACACTGGCCTCTTTGAGTGTGGTCACATTCATTGCTGTGATAGGACCAACTCCGGGTAAATGGGCAAAGCCTTGATTTTGAACTTGCAAAGCAGAGGCCCAGATGTCAGTGATGGTGAAAAGAACTACAGCTTGGGAAACAGATGTCAGTCAGCGTCAATCCAGTGATCATCAGTGCCTGTCCACTCTTTCTTACCCCTCAAGGACACCATATTGTCTAGTGTTAAATACCCTTTCACACACACACTCTATTTTAAAGTCTCCAACAACCCATTGGGGGCTATTTCAGCCCTCATTTCATAGATGAGAAAATCAAACCTCCCAGAAAACATGTTCAGTTCCCCACAGCTGTAATGCAAAGCCAATGCTCAGACCCAGATCCTCAGGCTCCAAACCAACGTGCTTTCCACTATCCTGTAGCTGTCTAATCATTTTAGGTCTTCTTTCTTTTTGCACATGTTTCAGCATGTCCTGATGGGCAACTATCCTACAACCTGCCAGTTTTCTGGGAGCAGCCAGATCACTCCCCTGCTCCCTGTCCTGTCTTGTCCAAGCAGATTATTGCTGCACCCAAACCTCTTTTGCTTCCCATAGGAATCCCATATCTATCATGGATGTCTGTGGACCTGCTTTTAGAAATAGTGGGGAGCATGTGGTGGCACACAATGAGGTTTTCTAGGAATCTATTAATAGTTTTGCAGAGGCTGCTCAGAATTTTAAATTGACTGATTTCAAGATAAATTACCTCCTGAGAAAGACATTTTTCCCCTGCTCTTCCCTTCAACACTTCTCGTCCTTAATATGGATTTGATTTTCGGGTGCTTTTCTTTTACCCCTTACGGCTTGGCCTTACACCCTGTGCTCAGAAGACAGGGATATTAAGAGGTAGAAGCATTATCTACCAAGAAGGCTGAGGGACTGGCGTGGCTCAGTGGTTGAGCGTTGACCTATGAACCAGGAGGTCATGGTTCGGTTCTGGTTGGGGCACATGCCCGGGTTGCAGGCTCGATCCATGAGTGGGGAGCAGCCAATCAATGATTCTTTCAGATCATTGATGTTTCTATCTCTCTTTCTCCCTTCCTCTCTGAAATTAATAAAAAATATTTTTTAAAAAGAAGGCTTAGGGAAACAGATCTAGCCCTCCTTGGCCTCTGTAGGAATTGGCAGTGCTCCTTAAGACCTTTATGCAGAAAGGAACTGCTGTTTTCAAAGTCCTGGAAAAATGTCCATGGATGGATCCCAGTGCCTTTTTAAACCTCCTAAGTTAATAACTACTATTTTGGGGGTGAGGTGTATATATGCATAAGTCAGAAACTGGGGGAAATTTTTTATTATACTGAAATTAAAATGTACCTATGTAAAGTCTCAGGGTTTGGGGAACGTAATTCTGCCTTTTATGTTAAAAAACACATACTTCTGTTCAACAATGTTTATTTGCTTTAACTAGGTCAGTGGTGATAAAATAAAAATGCAGATACTGAAAATCAGTATGCTTTTGAAAAGAACATTATATTATAAATGTCACTCCTAATATATTAAGATGAGTCAATTAGTAGACTATGTCATAACTAGAAACAAAAATATTAAACAAAGGTAACAATAATGTGTATAAACTAAAATATCTTCAGTTTCAAAATTAGCAATAATATTACTTTCCAATTAAGAAGCTTTCCAGTATAAGATATAAAATATAATATAAAGATACTAGACATCATTAGCCATGCATTTTCAAATACCTTTGTAACAATAAAATACACCCCAAAAAAATTCAATAAGTTCTGGCCCGTGTTCTGACATTTGTATCGGAGAGCTTAGTTTTCCAGTCAAGCTCTGGATTATAAAGTAAGAATCAACTGACTTTTAACCAGGTCAGAATAAAACAGACAGAGCCATTGTGTGTGTGGATGGGCTCTGCTGTGGTTTGCCATAGTCACTTGTAAGATGGAAGAGTTCTCTCCAGTCTGAGCAGCCCATTTGCAAATAAGACCTCATTTCCAAAGAAGGTATAAAACAGCAGCCAAAATGAAATTCCAGCGAAAGGAGCTGCCATTTTCCCTCCATTTCAATAGGACACATAAGCCTAGTTTAAAAGCCAATTATTTCTATTGATGCAACAAATTCTTGGGTCAGGCCACCACCTCAATAATTCTATGTGAGTTTAGGGCTCAGGACTTACTGAATTGCAAGCCAAGAAGCAACCTAGTCAACATGAAAAACCACCGGAGAGCCCCTGCCCTCTGCATCCTGTCCTGGTGCTTTTGACAGTGACAGGACCACTCCCCTCATTTTGCCGCCCTTCCCACACCCCTCCCAGCCCCATAAAGCTCGCCATCTCATCCTCTGCTAGGCTGATCACTTCCTACAAGTGCCTGGTGCTGGAGGCAGCAGTGGTAGAAGACCTAGCATTTAGCTAATACTTTTAGAAAAAAGCAGGAGGGTGGGACACAGGAGTGGGCCTCTTTTCGCTGGACATGCCAGTTCTCCCTCTTAATTACTAAGCCCGGAACCCATGGAAAGAAGACAATACCGGGCTATCTTCCCACTCACACAAACACAGAGACTAATGGCTATTATTTTAGTTCACTGACACTTTCACAACACAAACGTAAATAATGCCCAGATGTTCATTTAATAGGGCACATGATTTTTCCTTCAGTTGGATTGTCTGTATATGGAATGGGAATACAATATATAAAAGTCTATTTTTAAAAAACCGTGCTACAGTTCTCAAACCTCTCATAAGCATACATGCGACATAGGGATACCTAGGTATTGTAAAAACTATTTGTCTTACCAAGGGCTACAGAAAACCACTCGAAGTTGTTGGCCTTCTCACCCCTGGGACCCTCAACCTGTACTGCTCAGAGGCAGCCATTCCCAAGGGCCAGGGCCCTGAGTTAGTCCAGGACCCTATCCCAGCCCTGTCTCCAGTGACCCGAGGCCAGACCTTATACCTGGCCAGGGTGACTGTCTCTGAGGGAACCTCTGATGAGCAAAAACGACCAATCCTATTAAAATTTAAGAGATTTAGGTAGAAATGGCTCTCAGTGGAATCAGCCACTTAGATCATCCCACCAGTGTCCATGAGGAGGATGGAAAAATGGCAAGGAGATGTGAAAGAGAGCACGGCCCCTGGTTAGACGGTGGCCCCACGGCCTGTTCTCAACATGCATGATGCAGTCAACCAGGCCGCAGTAACTGGCTCAGCAGAGAAATGTCAGGTACTGCAGGAGTCACCAAAGGGCATTTTTCACTCTGACACCTGAGTGAAGGGGGAGATGCCAGTGCAGTTTTAGAGACTCTCAATCCTGGAATTGTCCACCTGACGTTGTTTCAGGTGTTGGGTTAGAATGCACACGTGCTAAGATGACTTTGTAACATTGGGTTATATGCTTTTCTTAATTACACTGACCTCATTCACTCCATACACCCCAGCAGCTCACCTGGCTCAGGGTGGATACTCAGAAAATCTGAGATCTGAGTGAATCGTTCAAGTCCCCTCTCCCACGTGGCCGTGAATATCCCCATCCTCAACAGCAAAGGTCCCCAGACAGAGAGAGGCAGTGGTTGGTTCCCTTAGAGAAAAAACAACCCTAAAGACACATTTAAGTCACCATTAGTGAATGTAATTCCATCTCAGGCTGCAAAGTCCCAGCTCTGACTGCTCCAGGGAGGAGCTGTGGGACTTGAGCATGCCACTGCATCTCTGTGGGCCTTGAACCCTCAGCTTAAGTGGGGCCAATAGCCCAGTGTGTTGTCAGGTCTCTTCTTTCCCATGAAGTTCACTCCCACAGCCCCACCCCACCTGCAGCCCCCTCCCAGCTATGGCTCTGTGGCTGAGGGGGTCCTGGAGCCCTAGGGTTCCCCTCCAGCAGGCCCGTGCTCTCCACGTTTGTGACCAGGTTTGTAAGGGGCTGGGGGGGGGGGGCAGGGGCAGGGGGCAGTGATCTTTTGAACAGTCCTAGCATAAATGAGGGTCAGTATTAAGCAAGCATTACTCTTCATAAACTAGTACTGACATCTAGCCAAAAGCCTTAATGGAAAAAATGTTCTTTAAACAATTACTTTCTTTATCTTTAAGGAACATTGCCAAGGATGCAGAAGGAAATGAAGATGATCAAAGATGAGGATGCGCATTTCAACCTGGGTGTGAAGAGGGCCCCCCCTTTCCCCCACTGCCTGCAGCCAGTGGTTTCCCGGGGCAAAGCTCCCCAAAGACACCCCTTCCCAGAAGCTCTCAGGGGGCCTTTCTCCCAGTTCCGGTACGAACCTCCTCCCGGAGACCTGGATGGCTTCCCGGGGGTCTTTGAAGGAGGAGGGTCCCGGAAACGCAAGAGCGTGCCCACCAAGATGCCCTACACCCACCCCTCTGAGGAAGCCGCCCTGGGCCTCCACTCCGAGGAGAGCAAACTCCATGGCCACCCGAACTTCCCTCTGCTGTTCCCGCAGCCCCCGCGCCCCAAATACGACTCGCAGATGATCGACCTGTGCAACGTGGGCTTCCAGTTCTACCGCAGCCTGGAGCCCCTGGGCGGCAAGCGCGTCAAGCAGGAGCCGGTGAAGCCCAGCGCCGTGTGGCCCCAGCCGGCGCCCGCGCCCTTCCTGCCCACGCCCTACCCCTACTACCCCAAGGTGCCCCCGGGCCTCCTGTTCCCCTTCTTCGTGCCCGCAGCCTCCCCGTTCCCCTTCAGCCGGCACGCCTTCCTGCCCAAGCAGCCCCCCGACCCGCTGCTGCCCCGCAAGGCGGAGCCCCCGGAGGGCGAGGAGGCCAAGCAGAAGGTGGAGCGGATGGACGTGAACGTGCAGATCGACGACAGCTACTACGTGGACGTGGGGCGGGGCGCAAAAAGCGCTGGCAGTGCCCCACCTGCGAGAAGTCCTACACGTCCAAGTACAACCTGGGTCACGCACATCCTGGGCCACAGCGGGGATCAAGCCGCACGCGTGCACCGCGCTGCGGGGAAGCTCTTCAAAGCAGCTCAGCCACCTGCACATGCACATTGCTCAGCATCCAAGGAAGGCGGCCCCGACAAGTGCCCAGGTGGTGCCAGAAAGAC